GCGTTGATTCAATTCAAGCAACAACAACGTCAAACTCATAGAACTTTTATTAACAAAACAAATAAAAATACACCATATATGCCTAATAAAATAACAAATTACTTAGGCTACACAAAGTTGAAATAGGTATATAAAACTGAAAATCAGCAAACACTGTGGAACCAAATAAATAAGAAACATAGAACGTTTATTAGCAAAACGAATTAGAAAGCTTGGAGGCACAGCATAGGCTACACCTTGATGTAAAATAAAATAAATAAAATACACAAAGTTTAAATAAAGTAATCAGCAAACACTGTGGAACCAAATAAATAAGAAACGGATGTTTAAATAAACTTCCAGTCAATAGGCTTTTCAAAATCTAAAATAATCCAAACAGGCGCCTTTGCATTTCCTTTCTAAACAATCTTCTGCCATCGTCTTGTCTTTCTCACCTCACTCTTGTCAGTCAGCTCGACTCACTCTCCTCACGTGATAAATAAAATCTGACTCCTGCTCCGTGGTGCACCGTCATTCGCGCACGGTTCGGCACACTGCATTGAGTGTTTAGTTTTTAAAAGTGTCTGTCCTCTAACTGAACTAGGCTAAATGATTTTTGTTACTATAAAAAAATCAAAACGACGGTGGGGGGCGGTGCCGCGGTAGACAAATGACGTAACCGGTGTTGCGCCTTAACACCGGTATAACCGAAAACACCGTCTATCGCAGCAAGCCTAGTCTGCAGCATTTTTTTCAGTTTAATGTTTGCAGCAGTCAAACACTCAGTGGTAATATGGAAACATACTTTCAAAGCAGTAGATGTCAGAAAAAGAAGCATATTTTATTACTCCAGAATCGAATTTTTAGTTGGGGTGAGTGAAACAAAACTCGCAACAATAAATTCTGTGTACTTTTTGTTGTGATTTTGTGCACCTGATGGCTGTTTCAATCTCTTTACATACTAGTAAGAAATAGAGGAAGAGCTTGTTAGAAAAAAGCTGTTTGTCATGGAACTATGGATTTGCTAGGCCCCACCCTCCTTAGTTACCGTTGCTAACACTGTCCATTGCTAACTTTCCTACAAGCACTTACTATGCTGCTGGCAAATGTGAGAGAGAAGAAATCAGATTGGGTGAATAATTGAATAAAATCTGAATTAAACATGCTTTTATGTTGCTCCGTTACCTCGGAGCAGTGCATCATCTTCTTAGCCTTCTGCTACATGGAGTAGCATTTTTTAACACTGCTTTTTTTAACACTATACTTTAGATATTACCAAGTTAATATTTCATGAATCCCTGAATTTCATGATTTCCATAAAAAGATCTATATTGTGTATGAGCCGTGTACACTATATATTACATACAATAAAATAATATTATATACAACAATAATAAAGAATGTATTATATACAATAAAGAATGGCAACATCCTAACAGCAATACCCAACCTTAATTTTAAAATTGATAAAATAAATAACATTAACTGTATTTTTATATTTATCTAATATGTACTTAAGTTCATCTTTAAAAAAACTGAATTAATAATTTAATAACTATTAAATGTAATTTGTAGTAAATCTCAATCGATTTTTCATACTGTATATTTATGTTGTGATGCCTAAATTCAGTTGTAATGTATAAAATGATTGAATTTATTTTAATTTATTTAAAAAATACATAAAATTATAATATCAGACGTTTATCAGTTATCAGCCATATAGTTATCGGCTTATTGGCATTTGCAATAATTTTAAAAGAAGAGACAGAAGAAGGGTTGTATATAATATGTATGTATGTATTTTTATATGCAAAGTTGTGGCAACCATGTTATAACTTTGATAAAATTTCTATTGGAAAGTTTAGTCTTTAAGCACTCAGATAGAATCTCATATTAATGTTTCTAGCAGGTAGGCTTATTTATAATAATGGTTTATATACAAAATATATGTATTAATATAATACATTGTTTAAGGATACGTGTATATATATATATTAGGGTGTGAAAGACTTCTGATTTTTTAAAGTCGACTTTTATGTGATGAAAGTCGAGTCGAAGTCGACTAGTCGCTGATGACGTCATTAATGAACAAATAAGTCTGGAGCTGTGACAAACACCTTGTGCACAGCTATGGCATACGACACAGCGCTGCCCACATGGCTATTGCTCCTATAACAGTTAATTTTTATCAGTTATTTTGTCTTTGGGTCATTATATTTCTCACAGATTTCTGCTCGTTCTAAATCAGATAAAGTAGCACAGTAAAGATTACATTCATATGAATGCATTAGTGAGAACGATTGCGTGTCTGAATTAATTCTATCTGGCAGCGTCTCTCTACTAGTAGTGAAGCTGTGGGATTTAGTTATTAAGAAATATATGCTTGAACTTTTCAGTTTCTAAGCT